TCCTGGGGGGTATTGCCTAATTTATAAAATGGAAAGCTTACTCCTGTTTCAGAAATATAATAAATAATCACGCAATACAAAGTTTACTTATGAGGTAAGTTTTCTCTTAGCTTGTTTTGAGATTTAGACGAAGTTTGGGCATTATTATTGTTGGTCTTTGAGACGTTCTTATTTTTTGTCTTGGGAACGTTACTATTGCTGGTCTTGGGGTGTTACTATCATTGATATTAGTGGTGGTGGTATCGTTAGTCTTAGGGTGGTGCTATCGTTAGTGCTCATTTTTTATTCCTAAATACAAAAAATCATAGTAAGTTTTACTCCCATAATCTTCATTGAACAATATATAGGCACAGATGCTGGTGCATCGCTTATAAAATGTCTATTGCTTGCGAAGCGGATATTCTGTATCTAATATGCGCAGATTGAATAACGATGTTTGATTTTGTATAAGTTTTACTGATATTGAAATCATAATAATAACCTTCATCATCGTCATCAGAAAAACTACAGAACTCCCTATTATCTTCGTTGTTATTGAAGAAATCATCATCATTGAAGAAATTTTCTGGCTCATCATCAGATAAAGCAGTAATTAAAGATTATAGTTTACTATCATTGGCTTTTGTGTCTAATATCTCGATTTCTGGTAATACTTTCTCAGGCAATACACTTATCTCAGTTCCCGGTAAAGTTTTCTTGGCTTCCTCACTTAACTCAGCTTCAGGTAAATCATCTGAAGAATTGTCCTGATCATCGGTATATTCTATATCAGGCTTTTTGGTAAAATGGTCTATAATCGTTTGAATCTGTAAATTAGTAAATCTTGAAATAGTATCCACACTATAAGTTTTGATATATTGAACTTTACTCATTCCTATTTTTTGAATAAATTGTCAATCCTTAAAGCCTTTTGCGTCTGCTTACACAAATTTCCACGCTTGGTAGCAGGGAGTTGCTTGATAATAAAATTGTATACTCGACCCTTTGCTTTTTTCTCACCAATTATATCATTGATCATAAAATCTTTAACTATGCTTTTGAATCTTTTAGCATAGAAATACCAACACAAAATTTCTTTTCGATTAGCTTTGATTGTGTCTTTTTCTGCATCGCATGTATTTTGATATAGACAGATAATATCTTGGGTCTTTGAGTCTCGTGTTATTCTGGAATTGTCACAATTTGGACGAACATTGTTCTCTGAAATTTTGATCGTATGATTTATTTCAGGAGAAATGATACTTTGTGCTTGTTCCTTGATAGATGTTGATATTTCTTGTATTAAATCTTGCTCACGTGAAATATTAGGTGTATTATTCTCAGGAGTTGAGGGTGTCTCTTGTTTCCAGAGTTTTTTTTCCACAATTCTCTCCATTATCTCTTTACTAACCTGTTCCTTATACTACAAATTCATAAATTCATTTTCTTCCTTCTTCTCCAATGATATAGTTTTTGCAGGAATGGGAGACATGGGGGTTAACGAATCATGATATGTATCAGAATTGCCGGAGGCAGTCACTTTGTCGCTAGATATGTTATCAGATATATTAGATGTGGGGATATTATCCTCTAACGATTTGGAACTAGTACCAGCAAGGCTTATAACAAGGTTGGGTATATTGACATTACTTTCTCTTTGAGAGAGGACTATCTGTTCAGGGATGTACCTATTACCATTTTGCGAGCTCTGCTCCTTAATTAGCGAGACATCATGTTTCAGTTTAGCAATAAGGTCAGTTTTTTCTCTATCTCTCCGCTCTAAATTCAAGAATCTGGCTTCAACTTCTTCTTTGTCTTGTTTTAATTTTGTATTCTCGGATTCAAGATCGGCATACTTCTTTCTAAGTTCGCTAATCTCGAATGTAAGCTTGGTATTTAATTCTCTTAGCGAAATAATTGTAGATTGTGTATCTGTCATTGTTTTATATAGGGTGCGAATATATTCAATTCTTTATCGTAAAGATTTAAATTCATGTAACAAAAATCGCTGGATTAAATACAATAAGTAAAAATGCCAAGAAATTTCAGCGAACAATGTTCGTCAAAAAAAATGTCAAGAAAAATTTTCGATCGCATCAATATCAATACAACGTAATAAAACCCCGAAATACACATGCAAAAGTAAACACGATTATGTATGCGAAATCGGCCACCAGGGCCAGCTTTATTAATAATTGACTATACTACGACATTAACATTATATGCTAAAATAATAAAAATTGAATTACAACACTCCCTTTACCGAACCAACATACTGTACATGCTATCACATATTCATTA